ACGTCAAAAAGGTTAAATAACTGAAAAGCTAGCCTGGAGATACCAAACATAATTAGCACAAGATATTAAGTGTCTGAAATGTCTCACTCTAGTCTGATATAGTCTAAATTCAAGAAAACGTTTATCGAAAAGTAGAGGAAATTTCTTCACGCTCTCTGCAAGGTTTTTTTTTCGTGCCGTGGTGGCATGGAAACGATGGAACTTAGCTTTTTTCGCCTTACGTTTGCATTTGCGTTTGCGCTGCCTCGGTTCACAATTGTGCGAAGCGAAAGCAAACGGAACCGCAAGCTTAAAAAAAAATTAAAATTTGTCATTACTTGTGTTGACGCTTGCACTTGCATTTGCATTTGCGTTTGCGTTGTTTTCATTCCTCGACGCTTACGTTTGCATTTACAGTTGCGTTGGGGTACTCCGCACATTTAGATCTTTGCATTTGCGTTTGCGTTTGCGTTTGCATTGCACGTGTGAACCAGGCTTAAGGATACAAAAATACTTACTTTTTGTTAGCGGGTATTCGATTTGAATTCAGCCCAAAATACTTAACTCTGGATCTCGGCACATGCATTGTTGCAGAAGCGTTTTCAAGTAGTAGTTTTGTTGAGACTAATAGCTTCTGAGAATGTTAAGACTTACTTTTTTTCTGATAGTATAAAGTCTCCACACTTGTTCATACCTTTGGGTGGGTACAATTTCCGTTGCTCCTCCAAAGCCTCATTGACAATCATTGCCATTCCCTCAAGTTGGTGCAATTCTTTGTGACAGTGAAGAAACCACTGGCCCGGATTATCAGAAAGGAAATTGATGACAACGTAGCCCCCAGAAGGGACCATAACTGTGTCTTTTCTGATCGTGCGGTCATTGATGGAAAAATGCATTGGCTCTGTTCTCCAGCTTGGTCTGGTGCAACTGTTGTTCCCACACCCTTTTTTAGCACAGTTGATATCAGCGCAGTATATATCACTGTTGCGTTTTTGAATAAAACCAGTGGTTTTGTTATACTCTGGATATCCAACGGCAACCACATGAAACGTATGGCCGTGCAGGTGAATTGGATGAGCACTGGGGGCAGCACCAATTGATGAGAACACCAATTGAATAGTTTTGTTATACGGAATGTCGATCATATGGACACATGAGCACTCGAGTGTTGAAGGATTGCAGTCAGCCCTAAGGTCGCACATCGTGTCTTATGTTGTAAAATTGTCATATTGGGTCTGAGGTGGAAAGGACGGAAGAATAAAATTGCGCCCATTAACGGAACTAGTTTGAAATTGACCTTCAAAATGAAAGTTGACGAAATGTCTGCAATCTGGGCATCCTATGGTGGGGTTTGCATTTGGAAGTTCCCCAGGAGGAGTGGGTTCAAGCAAACGCAGGTCGCGTACATTAGTACAGATAATGTTATATGAAGGATGAAAGTTCTCAAATGGGCAGTTCACCGCTTTGCATTTATTCTCCTGGGTGCACTCTCTGCGAGGAGATTTGTTTTTTATTTTTTCATATTCACTCGATGGTACATTATCATCCGGATCCAAACCGTCGTCATTCTGTTGATAGTGCAAAATAGCTTCTGCCACATGTCCTAGTGACTTGTAGGGTGGCCGGCTCCTATTTTAATCAATTTCCATAGTCTCTGCACGTATCCAGTAGTCTTTAAGTGTTGTCTCTGTTGCACTCAGTAGAAAGTCATATCTCTCTCCGGGATGGATCATGATGTAATCAACCTCTATTTGTGGTTCAATCCAGTAGCCGTCAGTGCCGACCACGGTCAGTTTATGGCCATCAATAGAGAAACTGTAAGAATAAAGCCCTTGGGCTCCAATAAGCCTAAAGCGATATGTCTCTCCGGACCTAACAGTGAATATGCGCAGTCTTGTTTTTTTGTATTTAACGTCATCATGTCTGCCTTTGCCATTTATGATTCCAGAAAAGTACGGAATAGGCCCAGTCCCTCCATTGTCAAAACTGCGTGTACCTTTATACTTTGGATCATCTGGAGTGGGTACTTCGCCAAGCGGCTTGTCTGGATAAAAGCCCAAGTGTCCCTGGGCCTGTGTGAACAGGTCAAAGGATGCCTCAAGTTGCCAGTCCAGAAGCGTTAAGGTGTGTCGATGTGGTTTGTCTTTAAAATTAATGTTTAGTTCAGTTTGGATTTGTTTCAACCTTTTTTTATTTTCTTTGACTATGAGTGCGCCATACAAGCCATCTGTTCTTTGAGCGCCACTGTGAGAGTGGTACCAAAACGTTCCAGAAGGCCGAGCGGTGTATTTGTATGTAAAGGTCGATGAGGGTCCTATCTGACATTGAGTCACTTGCCCTACACCATCCATCCAAGGAGTTCCTTTCTGATGCATCCCATGCCAGTGAATTGAAATACCTTCAGTGGTGAGATTGTTGTGAACATGAATAATAACTTCTTGCCCTTCGTGAACTATTAAGGTAGGTCCAGGAGTTTGTCCATTGACGGCTATTGCCAAACGGTACGTTTTACCATCAACAAATTGGGGATAAGTGCATTTGGCTCTGTCCAAAGTTGAACATGTTCTATTAGATTGTAGTGGCAAAGGTCAG